TTGCCAAGTAAGAGTTTCAGCAGCAGTGACAACTGTAGAACTCTTGATAGACATCTCTGTGCAAAGGAGATCAATGTAAAAATATGAAGGTTTAAATTATAAATACCTGATACAGTTGGCTTCTTTTTATTTCAAGAAGGTTCCCAGGGGCTACTCATACAGCAGATGATAATGATGGATTTCACTGCTGTGGAATGAGTTGTGGTTACTGATGATTTTTCAAGGGGGGAAAACCTGTCATCTTAGTTAGCGTCAGCTCCTTTAGAACCACCCACCAAACTGGCACTACTGATATCATGAAATGCCTCTTTTTGTTATTATTCTTTCCACAATACACAATAACAGGGTTGTACTTGTCAGGGCATCCCCAATATAGAGCCTGCTGCCATCTCTGAAGTTTGCAGACCTTTCTCAAGCTCCACAGCATTAAGTTATTGTGCTCCAGACCACAGAACCTCACTCCAAGTGCAAGGGATGTTTTGACACACTCCTGGTAATAATGTTCACTTTCTTCATAAACAGTCTGCTAGAAACTGTAGAATAAACCATTGCTCATAGATCACATATGGACATCTGCATTGTCACAGTGAGGTTTATTCTGAAGAAGGAGCCTTATGGTGCCAGAATTGTGCCCTATATAGAGAGAGGAAGGAAAAAACTGATGGTGAAATGTTCTTCATTTCACTATGGAGAGTCAGGGATTTTATTTTTTCTTGTCGGCTTGGAACTTTGCATTCTGTTCATGCTCTGGAGCTTGAACATAATGAGCCACTGCCTCTGGAATTTTACAGGGATAGGGCCTCCTGGATAAGTGAAATCAACATAATTGATTTATAGGAAGGATAAATCTTTTTGTGGGGGACATACACACAAAGATGGGGACAACACACACCCATAGTTTCCTAAGACATGGAAACACCCCTTCAAACATACGTTCCTGAAGATACACTGGAACAGCCAAGTTGTGCTGAGGGAGGAGTCCATAGCTCAGAAAACAGTCTGGTCACTATTAAGTCAAAGATATGGAGTCCATGGCTCTCCATTTGTTGGACTACAGTTCCCATCACCCACGCCATTGCTTGCTGGGACTGATAGGAGTTAGAGTCCAATAACACCTGGATAGTCCTAGGTTCCCCATCCCTACTCTGAAAATGCAGTGCCAGTAAGTTAAAGGAAGTGCCCAGTCTTTGAAATTATGTCTTTGGAGGATGTACAAGGACAGGGAGAAAGGATAAATAACTTTTTCCTCCCTCCCCAACCCCAAACTTCGTCAGCAAGCTTGTATAACATGCTGCTTTTTCCTGGTCAACTTGTAGATTTATAGGAGCGTATACCATACTTCATATAGTAGGAACACGCACTAGATAAACAGAACTTTTTATTTTAAAGGAAACCCTACTTGGTGTGTTTTGTGTCTGGTTTTCTATTTTGGGGCCATAGTAAGTAGGGCTAAAAAGTTCCAAGTAAGCTAAAAAGTGCCAAGGATGCGAACTAGAAGAAGCACCACACAGCATAATATCTCAATTTATATTAAATGACCCCATGGCTTGGACTTCTGATGGTGGCAATAACCTGTCTGAAATCGCCCTCCCTGAGCAAATCTGAGTGTTAACAGTTGTTTTAGCAATGAGTTATTTCATGTAATTGTATGTGCAATCATGCAGGTTCATGTTTAAATTTGGAAGGTTATACTCCTTAAACGCTTAGTCGTTTACTGTGCTGAGTATCTTCAGAAAGTATAATTAGCTCAACAATGTGCATGTCTTACAAATCTTGAATTTAAAAGCCTTCTACTTAGTATATGCCTAGCATGTAGGGGATGCCTTACTACACAATTGGGGCAACTGATAATTTATGCTATATCCCCCTTTCACTTAGCATAGATGTCTTCTTTGAAAAGGCATTTTCTCCAAATCACATTGTGTTTATTAGCAATTTGAGTGGAAAGAGTGCAATTGCATTTTTGTCCGTGTGTGTGTGTGTGTGTGTGTGTGTGTGTGAGAGAGAGAGAGAGAGAGAGAGAGAGAGAGAGAGAGACTGGAGCTCCTCTTTCAAGATTTATTGTAAATGCAACACAAGAGTGCAGATAATTGCTGCCTTGATAATCCATTGCTTTTTGTGTCTGTAACACAGCTATATTAATATTTTCATCAGGGTAGTGGCATGACTGGCAAAACAGTTTGGGGATCAAATAGTTGGTGAGGGGACTTACACTGTGCAGAAGCCTGATAAAACAATAGTACCAAAAGACTGTGCACAATGGAATTGGGCAAAGACTACACACAATGGAATTAATTTGGTGAATGTAGAGAGAAGTGGTTCAGGTTTGTAATGCTAACTTTCAAAGGACAAGTGGCACATCTTATGAGGTATAAAGGCCAAGCCTACAGGCTGCTGTTTTGCTCCAAGTTATCCTGGTTGGTGTCTTTGTTTTGTCCAAGGGAGCCCTCGGATTTTTCCGGTAACAGAGGACACACACAGAGAGAGAGAGAGAGAAGAATAGTGACTAATAAGAGCTGTTGGATTTAGTTTTAATACTCAAGATAAATTTTAGTATACGAATTCTGGAATTTACTGTGTTAAACAGAGACGGAATTACACATTGTCAGTACACTATGCAGGAGTCTTTGTCTGCTGGCATCTAAGAATGAGCAGTATGTGAGGCCTTTGTTTAAAATGCTACAGTACACTCGCTGAATGTGTTTAGGAAAATTAGTGTTTTTTCTTTTCCTTTCTTCCTTCCCATAGGGCTCAATTTGTCTTTTATTTATAGATTTGTTTTTAAGTAGTGAAAGCTTTAGACAGTTTTTTTTTTAAAAAAAGGCTGAATTCTTGGAATGTATCAAACGAAGACTTGTTTGTGACTAGATTTCCAATTAATGTGTAGGCAAAACTGAAACTGCCAGTTAATGGGCACCAACGAAAATCCTGTAGCCCTCTTTCCGAACAATTAATTTTGTTTGCCTACTTTCCAACAGAAATAGCAGGAATAAATAGGTTTTAAAGGGGGGGAGGTAGGAAGCTTTAGATTAATTTATTAGGCTTTTGGATGGAAAACTTATTTGCCCCTCACCACACCTTTTTTGTGTGTTTACAGCAAGTTTTATTAACAGCCACAGACAATTCCCATTTCTCTGCATAACGTATCAGGAAAAAAGGCAAGAGCTCTAACTAGTATATTTGAAAAAACCTGATACAGTAAAACCAAACGCCTCCGTTTTGGAACGTTTCGGCTCCCGAACGGCAAAAACTCGGAAGTAAGTGTTCTGGTTTTCGAACGTTTTTCGGAAGCTGAACGTCCCATGCGGCTTCCGTTTGAGTGCAGGAAGTTCCTGCAGCCAACTGGAAGCCACGCCCCAGTTGTCGAACATTTTGGAAGCCAAATGAGCTTCTGGAATGGATTATGTTTGACAACCGAGGTTTGACTGTAATGTAAAACCCTGGAGTGTGGGACACGGGTGGCGCTGTGGGTTAAACCACAGAGCCTAGGACTTGCCGATCAGAAGGTCGGCAGTTCGAATCCCCGCGACGGGGTGAGCTCCCGTTGCTCGGTCCCTGCTCCTGCCAACCTAGCAGTTCAAAAGCACGTCAAAGTGCAACTAGATAAATAGGTACCGCTCCGGTGGGAAGGTAAACGGCGTTTCCGTGCGCTGCTCTGATTCGCCAGAAGCGGCTTAGTCATGCTGGCCACATGACCCAGAAGCTGTAAGCCGGCTCCCTCGGCCAATAAAGCGAGATGAGCGCTGCAACCCCGGAGTCGATCATGACTGGACCTAATGGTCAGGGGTCCCTTTACCTTACTAAAACCCTGGAGAGCTGCTGCCAGTCAGTGTAGACAGTACTGAGCTAGGTGGACCAGTGGTCTGACTTGGTATAAGGCAGCTTCCTTGAGGTATGTGAGTTGTGAAGAGCACACAATGTGCCATTTATCACTTCTCTCCCTGAGGGAGCAGGGTGCCTGTCAAGGATTAGATGTGCCAACAGGGTTTCCTTCCTCCTTATCTCCTCCAGCTGTGCGCCTGCTGTTTTCTTATCCTGCCACCTGCCAGCGTATTTAAACCTTAAATTAGAATAGCTGTTTTATTCACCACTTTCCAGTCCAATGCCAGCATTTATTTTAATATATTTACCTTCTAGCCTTTGCATGTTTGGTAGTGGGGTATTATCACTGGTCCAAGGAGACTAGGGGTACTTACTTTAAAAAATTGAACAAATATACTTATGATTTATGAAATATTAATATAACGGTATGTTTACTTTCAGGTTAAGTTCCATAATAAAGCTGGGTTTAATATCTGACACAAAATATTACTGTTATGAGTCTTACAGCTATTTTAAATCGATGGTACTTGAACATTAGTGTTACTTGTGGTTTAAAAAGACAGCAAAGTGTTTGCTCAAGTTCTTTTCCCTATACAGTAACCAGAGACAAGTTATACTCCCTAAGCCCTACTCTGTTTAATTCTCAAACCTATTAAGAGAACATTCCTTGTGTGAACTTAATTTGATAAATAGAAACTAAAATCATAGTTGAATGGAAAGCCATCTCTTTCATCAGTCTGGGAATATAGAATATATAGTCCTGCGAGGTAGCATAGTACAGCAAATATGGTTTGAAAAAGAAACACCTATATTGTAGAACATTCCTGTTTTTAAAAGATAGCATTAAAATGTATTTGTTTCATTTGCCCTATGTTTTTTCTCCTGGAAGAAAAGTCATGTTGAATGAAATTCAAAATAGTTGCTATCTTTGGATATGAAGAAAAGGCTTATTTCACTCCATATTTATGTAACAAATGTAGTGTTTTATATGCCCCATGAGATTAACCCCCAGTCTGTTTCTATACTATTATAGATGTTGCTAGCAACCTGAAAAGCTGTTTGATTACAGCTAAGAAGTGTCTCCAGATATGGTTAACTTTGTTCATTGTATTCTTCTAAATACATTTCCATTTAATGTTGAAGTCACTAAACTAGGTATTTGCAGAACTCCAAAAAATAATAATAATTGTGTAAATTGTTAACTTTTGCACTTAAGAATTTGACTTATTCTGCTGTTAAAAAAAGAGTACTTTTTATTTTTTTTAAAATCCTTTATGGCATTGTACCATGCAAGTAAAGTCAATACCATCCCTCCTCCAATACCTATATTCATGTTATTGTATTCTCAATAGTAATACAAGTCTAGGTGTCTTCTGCTTGGGAGAGTTCGGACTTTTCACTAAACCATAGTTTAGTGTGATGAGAATGATTCTCAGGGAGCTCCCGGCTCATGAGCTTCCCTGTTAGAAGCTTTTGCTTCTGTTTTCCATTAACTACAGTCTAGCATTCCATTTGCATCTAAACTATGGTTGATGTTAACCATAGTTGTTTCTCTGTAAACAACAGGGGAAGAAGAAGCTCCAAGGTTTAGCACGGTTTCTAAATGTAAGCACTGAAATAAAGCAGAGAAAAAATTTGCAGAGTTAGGTAGGAATGGAAGTAACTGCTGGGTCATAGGCACGGACTGAAATCTAGAGAGGAATGCATACAGAAAAAGGATCTATCACTTAGGGTGCTGTTCCCTGACTTTCTGGAAGGTTGGGGAGATACTACTAGGAGGAGTTGATAAGCCCCTATGAACCTGCTGAACACCGAATATGGTGTTGCGGATCTAGGTCCTTTTCTGGTTCCTCATAAATGGTTGGGTGTAATTCTTCCTTCCATTAACTGAAATAACAGAAGTTTTAAACACATCCTCCCCCCCCCCCAAAGAACACAACCCAAAAAGTATTTTTGATGCATACTGTTTTTATATCTGCTAGCTGAACGGGGCATGATATCTATTTTGATAGCTCCCATATATCTGCAGGTGGCAGGCTCCAAGGCGGACATCCTTTTTTGTGAGGGAATGCTGAGATCTTAGAAGTGAAAGTACATAGTTTCTACCTGCTGGAAGTGAACTGTGTAATCATGAGGTGCAGATTTGAGGTGAGAACTAGTAGAGAAGGGAATTGCTAGGTTATGTGAATTCTGACTGTTTGTGAGAGACGAGGATTAGCGAAACACCTTGAAGAGATTCCTAACTAAATGGGGGGGAAATGTGTGATCACCTTTCATAGCTGTGTGGAAGAGCCTTTTCAAATTCTGCAGTTACCCTATAGCGTGGCCCACCAACAGTTAAGGAATGTGGGCATTCTAGAATTATATTTTCTAATTGTTTGCATTGTGGTATAACTTTTCTCATTAAATCCATATGTCTGAATCTTTCTTACTTCTGTGTATCTCTGCAACAAATAACCAGTATGTGTCAAGTTCTAATATTAAATTTTTTCCCTAGTTTATAGTGGAGTGTCATGGCAACACACTACTTCCTCAGTTTTTGGGAATGTACCGGCTTACTGTTGACGGAGTCGAAGTATATATGATTGTTACAAGGAATGTATTCAGCCACCGTTTATCTGTTTATAGAAAATATGATTTAAAGGTGAGTACTGATCGGCTTCTGTTATGAATATTGCAGTAGCTGCCTTGATAGTCCCCTCCCCCCTAAATGGTACAAAATTCTGTGGGTTCTTAGAGGCTATCAGTAGCAGTACACCAGAAAGTGTCTAGGAAACTCTTTCGTTAAGCTATTATTATTGAAATAGTTTGCGGCTTATCTAACGCCCAAACCTTTTATGGAAGTAAGATAACGTTGAGTTGTATTGTGTGCTGTAAAGGAAGTGGCTTAGCAGAAGTATGCTCGCTAAAAGTGGATAAGTGCTAATGGTTGCAGTGAAAACCATTTGAGGGGTAAAAAAATAAAAATAGCTGAAGCAGCTCTCATGTCCTTAATGGATTCTGTAGACTGTTACAAATCAGTCTGCATGCAGATTTTTTTTAAAATAAATAAATTAATAGAACCATTTTAATGGAGTTAGGAAGAATGTGTTAAAAGTTGAGCCAATATTTGTAGATTCAAAAACCCTAGTAAGCAACTTCTATTTTCTGTTACCATGACCAAATATATTAGGCTGCAGTCCCACTTAGCAAGGGAGTAAGCCCCAATGTACTTAATGGGGTTTCTGAGTAGACAAATATAGGATTGCACTGTTGGTTTGTTTAAAGCTGTCAAACTGGCTCAGATTAGCTTATTCATATCCTGTCTTGTTTCCTTAGCAAGGAACGTGGCGAGCTGAAAAAAAATATGTTTCAATTGGAAACTGGCCTCTCAGGAAGACTGACTGACCTCCAGTGCACTTTATTTTAACCAGCTGATACATGCTGTTTTAGCAAAAGAAACTGGTGTATACCTTCCCATATGATTTGCACCTTTGCATTTGCTTACATACTGAAATGTAACTATAGGGTGGCCTTGAGAGCTCAAAATCCAGAATGCAAACAATCTATGTTCTCTTGGCTTAAATAGACGTGTTTTCTGGCCTAGCTTATTTTGAATGACAACATAATTCTTTCACCCCCTTTTGGCTGTAGCATACCCAATGCCTTCTCCCTTACGTTAGTATAAATGGTTTTCTGGAGACAACAAAATTACGGCCTGTCAGTTCTGCTACCTGCCAAGAGTGGCATGCAGCTAACATGAATACTCCCAAACATCAGGCCTCCTCGGTTCCTACAAATTTAATTATATGTACATTGTACACCAATTCAAAATTTTGAACTTGTCTCACTAGCTGCAAAAGTTGGTATTTGGCAGGGCTGATATGCTCATCAATTGACAAGTCCAATCATAGATTCATAAAATTGCAGAGTTGGAAGGGACTTCAAGGGGTCATCTGTTGCAACAACCTGCAATGCAGGAGTCTCAACTACAGCATCCGTGACAGATGGCCATCCAAACTCTGCTTAAAAACCTCCAGTGAATGAGAGTCCACAACCTCCCAAGGGAGACCATTCCCCTGTCAAACAGCTCAAATCAAAGATGGTCAGCTTCCTGTTACCTTTCTTTCATGGTGTCATCTGGCAAGAGCTCTATGTTGCAATTGGGCGTTCTGTCCTCAAAGCTTTGGTCACTATATCCCTGTTTTTAAAATTGCAGACATTTCCAAATGGAAACGCATCAGGGATAGGGGCCTCTGCTTAGCCTACTGCTATGCCAGAATGTTTTAATTGCTTTTGAATGTTGCAGATACTGTAATCTGGGTGTGTGTAACTTTGCATCAGGGCTATGGTGAAAAACCTTACTGTGAATCTACTAGAGGAATTCTGCATAAAAGAACACCTATGCCCTTCAGTTTTACCCCAGTAGCAATTTAAATACAGTATTTCTGTTTCAGGGGTCTACAGTTGCAAGAGAAGCCAGCGACAAGGAAAAGGTATGGCAAAGGTTATGTTTCCTTAAGTTGCCTAACTTCAGCTTTTAAGAAAGGGGGAAAGAGTGATAACCATGCACCATGATTCGGCCATCACTCTGCCTGTAAATAACAGATGCTGGTTTCAAAATAATTACAAACGTTTATTTATACAATAAGAAGCATAGGAAATCAGACAGCATACACACATTCTGAATTTCAAGCATTAAAAAAAACAACCATACAGTACTATTAAAATACATACAAGGATCTCGGTAGTCATTTCTAGGCTACTGCTTGCAGAAGCAGATCTGATTGGTTACCAATTTATCTTCTGGGCATAATTCAGAGTTTGGCCTCAAAGAAAAATGGTGGTTGGGTATTTGCATGCCATCCCCTTCTGCCACTGGTGTATTTTCTGCACCAGTGCATAGGTACTAATGGGGAATTTAATGCCCCGAGTCAGTTGGTGCCCCAAAGTCTGGATTAGGGTTTCTGGCAGTGTGTGTAGACTCACATCACCAGGCCTGAAATGCTCATCTTACCTTGTTGTGCGGCCTTTTTCTCTTCTCCTTTGCCAATGCATCTTCACCTTCCTTTACTGCTTCCTCTGCCTTTGTGTAAAGGACCAATTTACACATATCCCTGTATAGAAGTGTGAAGAAATAAGCATGTGCTGCCCTCTACCCAGTTCACCCTTCCAGAAGTTTTAGCTAAAAATACCTTGCACAAAAATGCTTTGTCTTTGTTACAGTGACCTGGTTCACATAAACATTGGCTACAGCTTGTGGTTCAGTGAGGAGAGCTTCACCACAAAGCCATTTTTGGCTGAAACACTAAGCCAAATCTGGGCTTAGCTCAGCACTGTATGGGAATAAAAAAAGGGCTTAGGAGGAGCAAAGCAGTGAACCAGGCCACTGAAGCTTCACATTAACTTGTATGTATGTCTTACATTGGCATACCTAGAGAACAAGTTGGAAAGCTACCTAGCATGCCCTTAACTTTTTGAATAACCTTGGGCATAGCACAGCTATTCAATCCAACATGCTTTAGCCAGATATCTCTTAGGGCAGGGGTCAGCAAACTTTTTCCACTGTCCCCTAGACCTTGTGGGGGGTTGGACTATATTTTGAAAGAAAAAAAGAATGAATTCCTATGCCCCACAAATAACCCAGAGATGCATTTTAAATAAAAGGACAAATTCTACTCATGTAAAAACATGCTGATTCCTGTACTGCCCGCAAGCCAGATTTAGAAGGCGACTGGGCCGGATCCGGCCCCCAGGCCTTAGTTTGCCTACCCATGTCTTAGGGCAGTGGTTCTCAACCTGTGGGTCCCCAGATGTTGTTGGACTACAACTCCCATCATCCCTGAACTCTGGCCTTGCTAGCTAGGGGTGATGGGAGTTGTAGTTCAACAATATCTGGGGACCCACAGACTTCTGAGATTGGGGGTGGAAATGTAGCTTCTCCCAGTGCTCTGTGTGGTGGTAGTGGTGAGGAAGCACATTATTCATGACACCTGCTCCTGATCTCCCTATACCAGGGCTGGATTTAGGTTTGATGAGGCCTTAAGTTACTGAAGGTAATTGGGCTCTTTATATAGCAGGTGGGGCCCACTACTTACATCATAGGAGCCTACACAACACAACACACTTTTATTTTATTTGTTTTTTATCTTTTGGAAATGTACATCCAGGTTTTTTTCCTTTAAATTTTTTTGGGGCCCCAAGAGAGTGGGGCCCTAAGCTTGTTTAGCTTATACGCAAATCTGGCGCTGCCCTATACCATAGTTAATTGGGGAGCAGAGTATCAGAATTAGGCCCTTTGGATGTGCAGCATTTGTGGGGCGTGCAGCTGAGCCCCGCACCTATTTCTTGTGCTAGACTTCTGACAAAACAGATGTGTGTGCAACGACTCTTGACAAGGTGAAGGCTGGTCTTGCAGATGAGCAACACATTTCCTTTTTTACTGTAAATACTCTAAAACGGCTTAACTTAATCAAATCGGTCATAAAAGCAAACAAGGTCTCAATTAAATGGGAAAATACAACACTCTGTTCCTTGCATTTCTTGTTTGCACTGGAGCCGTAGCTCATTTGTGCCCCCTTGTGGCTATTCACATTTTGAATAGCTCTGAAATACTCCCCTGCGCTTTTGATCAAGAAATTCCTTGTTTTCATTGCTTGTTTCACTGGGCTCATTGTTTTGAAACGGTTTTTATGTGCCAGCTTTCTCTTGTCCGTTTCAGGCCAAAGAACTGCCGACATTCAAAGACAACGACTTCATCAACGATGGCCAGAAGATTTATATTGATGAAACGAACAAAAAGATGTTCCTTGAAAAGCTTAAAAAGGATGTTGAGGTAAGGGGTTGCCTGCCTGGTCAGCTCTGAAGCTCACCACACTTAGCAAAAGCCATAGTGACTTTTGTACTGAGACCTCCTAGGCAGATTTACCCCACCAATTCAATATTGCAAATAAATGTTACAGTGACCTGCAAATTATTTGTCCTCCCGATTGTAATTGGGATTTTGCTGGTGTTTTTTCATGAGAATAATATGTTACGGAGGGCACCCATCCAAAGTTCACGGATGGCAGTGCACCTGCCAGTACTTCTCATGGTACCCACAAAAGCTATCAATGATAGATATCACTTCATACAGGTGCGTTTCTCCCCCCCACCCCTTGAAGGGGTGGCATGCCTGCACCAATTCATGATTCTGTCTCCTTTTCTGCTCTCTTAGATGTGGCAGCCATTGCACGAAAACCCCACAGCAGTCATTTTATGGTGTGCCATGACTCTGTGGCGCCATTTCATGACTGGTGCTCATGGCACTTTCTCAAAGTTCAGAATGCACCCACTGGGTCAGAAAAGGTTGGAAACCCCTGAAACGAGGAGATAAAGGGGGATTAGAGCCATGGTCTATTTACAGGAGGACTGCTGAGGGTGGGGCAGGCTATTACTTCCCTTAAGCTGGTGGTGTAAACCAGCATCAGGGGGGGAAAGCGCAATGTTGCTTCTGTTGCTTTTAATATTCATGGCACTGCATCTTGAACTGTTAAAATGCTCCGTAAACACTTGATGTGCCTCTGAAATATGAGCAAAATTGCATTTTCTGCTATTTTAAGTATGACAGATTCTTGGAAGGTCAGTCATGTAATTGTGTTTGGAGTGGCTTCTATGGCATTGATTAGAATTCATACTGAAGGATCATTAAATTGTGTATGTAGGCAATTATTGTGTAGTGGTTTGGCATGCCACGGTGATAATGGAAAACTAGAATTGAATCTTGGTTTTTATCTTTCACATTCCTATTTTTTGGGGGGGAGGGCATGCTAAGAGCAGTAGCTATGCTCACAAAATACTTAAATTTACCCCAATATATTTAGCTGAATGTAATTAAGTTTCAAATCAGTTTTAATCTTTGATTTATGTTTATAGCAGGGACTCTCTGGATCATAGCTTTGCTTCCCTAGAGTCCAGTTCTTCTGGAAACGCTGCACTCAGCTTCTGAGTTTGCTTGATTATTCAGTGTGGCTTTTCAGTCGCATGCAGCTGGGATGGGGCTAAGATGCTCAACAAGCCTTCATGGCAGCCATCTAATGTATATCAAATTATTGCACTGCTGCAGTCTTGTCTTTAAGACCAATCTTCAGGATCAAACTAGTTGCAACATGGCAAACTGAAAGGGAGGGTTGATTCAAATCAGGACAGTGGCAGGAGCAAAGGGTTAAAAGCCCCCTTCTGCATTCCCTCATCTTACCTATTAGTTTTGGTTTGTTTTTTTTTAAGTAAATCAAGCAATGCACATGATGAACATTACATAGACTGAGGATGTACTCGCTACACTGACCGGCCAAATATGTTTTCCTTGCAGCTAGCATTCTTTTATTGAAAGTTGTCATGTAACAAAGCATTTCTTAAAGCAACATAAATTTGGCTCTTCTGCCTTGCTTCACCAGTTCAATTTTGCCCCCACCCAGTCACTGTTCATGCACCTGGTCCAGGTGGAATGTACTCTTGGAGCGGGATATACAGTGGTACCTCGGGTTAAGTACTTAATTCGTTCCGGAGGTCCATTCTTAACCGGAAACTGTTCTTAACCTGAAGCACCACTTTAGCTAATGGGGCCTCCTGCTGCTGCTGCGCCGCCAGAGCATGATTTCTGTTCTCATCCTGAAGCAAAGTTCTTAACCTGAGGTACTATTTCTGGGTTAGCGGAAACGCGTATGTAACCCGAGGTACCACTGTATAGGCTTTGAGTGCGTGATCTAGTTGCAGGGTACAGATCATGTGTTCAGAGCCTTAGGCACACTAGGATGCAGTTTTGCGGACTCCTGTATAGAAGCTGTGGTCACTGTATGGCATTCCTCTCCCTTGTGTACATACGCAAACAGCGGGATCATTGGAGCTGGTGGGAAATGAAGCCATGTGTCTCACCGACATTTAGGTACAAATACATTAGTTCCATACTATTTTGCTTTTAAACAATGGTTAGTGAATTCTGCAAGTTTCAGACATGGTGATTACAAGAAGTTTCCTACCAGATAATATCCAAGTCCTGTCAGCCAAAGGATTCAGTATCCCACAGAGACAAACCAATAGCCTGCTGAAAAGCCTACAAAAGGCATGGAGGAAAGTCTTCCCCACTGCTGTGACCCACCATACTGCTTCTGGATAGGAAGGTTCCATTTAGCCATCAACTGATGGATGGATTTTACCTGAGCTAGTGGCCATCCATACACTCATTCTGTCACTAAATTGTGAGTTGTGTGAAGAATTCATTTCCTTTCGTCTGCCAGTCAATCTGCTGCCAGTCAATTTCATTGGCTGGTTTCCTAGTTCTAGCACTATGTAAGAGGTAGAAAGTTCTCTTAAGCAACGTTCTGCTCAACCTCTCAAAGCAAAAAATAAATCCTCAAATCCAAATTATGGCTAGGGAAACTGTCACGTTTCTCCTTTCGTGCCATGCATAAAATGTACCAGACTTGAAGAATCCCACTTGTTTTCCATTGAAGTTTCCTATTTTGGCTTTCACTCAAGTAAGCCTGTTGCAGTAGAAAATAACATTTTCTGCAGAAAAGTTACCTTTTCCCACCCAACTAGACCTTGGGATTTTCTACCCCTTGGTAACTGACCTTCTTTTATTGTTGCCTTCAAAGTTCCTTGCTCAGTTGAAACTCATGGACTACAGCTTGCTGGTTGGAATTCATGATGTTGAGAGAGCAGAACAGGAGGAGGTTGAATACGAAGAGAACGATGAAGAGGAAGGAGAAAGCGATGGGGCTCATCCTGTTGGGACGCCTCCAGATAGCCCAGGAAACACACTCAACAGCTTGCAGCCTTTAGCTCCAGGAGAATTCGACCCAACCATTGATGTCTATGGAATAAAATGCCATGAAAGTAAGTATATTTAGACATGGGGGATATTTCAATTCTTGCATCAGTCTCCGAGTCTCTAGAAGGAAAGAAAACTCCACCAAGGCCAAAAAGCATGATACCCAATTATCAATTGCTCATCTATAAAAAGGTAAAGGTACCCCTGCCCGTACGGACCAGTCTTGACAGACTCTAGGGTTGTGCGTCCATCTCACTCAAGAGGCCGGGGGCCAGCGCTGTCCGGAGACACTTCCGGGTCACGTGGCCAGCGTGACATCGCTGCTCTGGCGAGCCAGAGCCGCACACGGAAACGCCGTTTACCTTCCCGCTAGTAAGCGGGCCCTATTTATCTACTTGCACCCGGAGGTGCTTTCGAACTGCTAGGTTGGCAGGCGCTGGGACCGAGCAACGGGAGCGCACCCCACCGCGGGGATTCGAACCGCCAACCTTTTGATCGGCAAGCCCTAGGCGCTGAGGCTTTTACCCACAGCGCCACCCGCGTCCCTTGCTCATCTATAGTAGGATTTTAAAAACTTTTTGGAGGGGGGTAAGGAATCTGCAATGCATGGCTCTGATTTTAACATGTCATTATTGTCTGTATTATTCAGTATTGTCTGAATACAGTAAAAGCAGTTCACTTATAAATGACTACAATACTGCATTAGCCAGCTATATTGCTAAATGCTACAGAAAGATAGAGATTCTGAGCTGATGTCTTGAATAACTTCTTTTTGCTTTCATTTGAAAGCCTACTGACTGCACAGACATTGGACAGTTATTTACAATGGCAAATACACCTTGCTTGACAAAAGAAACAGGTGATTGTTTGGCATGTTCCAGAGGTTCTCTGTTTAGATTTTTGCATTGTGCTGTGGGCAATATAACTACCAAAGCTGATTCAGAACAACAATTAAAACATTTTAAACAAGTTGAAATCATACTACACACTTAAAATCCCCATCAAACAACCTGCAGCACTTAACTACAAATAAAATTGCAAAGTGTGGGAGTGAGAATTCAGCCAAAGGACTGGGTGAAAAGATGAGGTTTTAAGTGGTGGCAAAAACTCATCATGGTACTACAGATTTTTTCTTCTGGTCTAAATAATAATAATAATAATAATAATAATAATAATAATAATAATAATAATTAATTATTACCACGCCCTCCCCAGCCAGAGCTGGGCTCAGGGTGGCTAACACCAGTAAAATTACAGTAAAAACATAATAGGAAAAAACCCCAATTTAAAATACAGGTTAAAATGCAATTTAAAATGCAGCCTTGTTTTAAAAGGAGCCCAAAGATCAAAAACATAAGGGGAGGGAAACATAAGGGTCAGACTGAGTCCAAACCAAAGGCCAGGCAGAATAGCTCTGTCTTGCAGGCTCTGCGGAAAGATGTCAAGTTCCACAGGAACTCTTGTGACAGAGCATTCCACCAAGTCGGGGCCAGTACTGAAAAGGCCCTGGCCCTAGTTGAGACCAATCTAACCACCTTGCGACTTGGGACCTCCAAGTTGTCATTTGTGGATCTTAAGGTCCTCCGCGGGGCATACCAGGAGAGGCGGTCCCGTAGGTACGCGGGTCCTACTTGGAAGATTAAAAAATGAGCACTTTATCTCATTTATAAAATATTATTGTAGGTCACTTTGATGACCTCAGGCTATGAAGCAGTTTATAAATGTTTTTAAAAATCTTCAAAAGCAAATCTAAAATATTTAAGCAAAGTGTTAAGGTCCTTACAAATTCACTCAGTCATCAAAAAACTTGTAAACTTTAAGTTATAGTGTGGAAGTTTTAATTCTGTAGTCACTTTAATTGTGCTTGCTCGCAATTGCAGCAAAGCGCACCCACACTTTCCCCTCTCTCTCCACTGATAAGTGTTATCTATCTTTCTTATCCCTTAATCAATTATCAAAGAGTGAAAAGATTTCTAGGACTCACATACATCCTTTGACATATGGTTTTTAAGACACTATTAAAGGGGCAAAGGTCTACCACCAGAATAACTTCCAACTTGCTTCTGCAGAGTTGTTTAATCTCTTGGCTACAAATATGTGTATTATTTTTAGTACTGTGAATTTCTTTCACAGATGCACCCAGGAAGGAGGTATACTTTATGGCAATCATTGATATTCTTACTCATTACGATGCAAAAAAGAAAGCTGCCCATGCTGCAAAAACCGTCAAACACGGCGTAAGTTTCATTGATGTATATATTCCAACTTAGTCAGTTATGTTCATGTAAGGGCTGGGCAATACCTGGTTTTCAAGTTCGCAATATATCACCAGCTAAACACCGTGTTATACTGAGATATCACAATGTCTGAAATAAGGATGGAGCTATACAGAGGCTGGCTTCACGGTTTTTCCCACACTGTGATTTTTGCATAGCGTGCTCTCTCTCACACACACATCATGATTTGTGATATACTGCCAGGTCAAAAATTATAAAACCAATATCATGATATGGACTTCAAAACCAGTTTTGGATCATATACCAAGATAGCACCCAGCCCTAGCTCAACATTAGAGATCACCAGCGTTTTCAGACAAGTGGCTGCATTTCGAATTTTGAGTTCGTGCTGGAGGAGCCAGTCACACCTGCGGCATTTCTCAGATGGCACGAAATTAGAGATACAGCCGCCCACTGCCCCTCGACAGCCTTATGCTTACCATGGGGAGTCAGTCATGACTTGCTGGTACTGATTGGGGAGCTCACACAAACATAAACAACTGCTCAGGGGCGCCACTTTGAAGAAAATATTGGGGGGGGGGGACAGACAAGGATGGTGATGCGGAAGGGAGGGTGGGAGGAAGAAGGGATGGCAGAAAAGAAACCTGAAAGTAAAAGGTGAAGCTCTGGACCAAGATAACTATGAATCAAGCTGGAAAGAGTCAGAGAGGTAGGAGGGGCTTGGATGACTGGGTAGCACAACTTCAAGAGTCATCCCTTGCAAGGCCCTGGCACTCCCCCAGTGTGCTTTGTTTTAGGGCAATGTCTGGATTTTTACTTTTGCTGTCCTCCTCCTCAATACCATGGTTACCATAGTGTGTGTTTTGTGACATGGACATCATGAACGCATCTCCTGCCACAACAAGCCAATTGTTCTCTTAAACTACGTCTTGCTTTTTCAGGCTGGTGCAGAGATTTCAACAGTGAATCCCGAACAGTATTCAAAGCGGTTCTTGGACTTTATTGCCAACATCTTGACGTAACCTAATGTTCCATTGGACAGATTACAAGGTCTGGGAACAGCAGCAATGGCTACAAGTGTGTAAGGGATAAAAAGCTTCTTTTAAAAGGAACTCTCAAAGTGCTATCTTGCAGAAGGCAGCCCCCTTGTTTACATCTGCTGGCAAAGATGACTGACTGGGGTGAAATACTCGCTTTAACAGCTGCCTGATTTATGCCCAGCATAGTTCTAGCTATTTCTGATGCGTGTGTGCGTGCGTGTGAGTGTGTGTGTGTGCAGAAACAAATATAAATTAACTAATAATAACTAAAATAGATCAGCTTCTTACTCGGTGTGCATTGCAACAACACTCCATGAATACTAGCTGAGCTGGGATGAATGGTTAGAGGTGGGTGGGGAGGAAGGCATTATATGCATGTTAAGTTCTACAATATTGGTGTCGAAACTAAACTGTGGATCAGTTTACGTTTTGAGCTGAGAGGTGCAAGACAGTATTTGGTGGCGATGATGACTATGACCTTACTGCAAATGTTACACTTAACTACCCTGCATGTTGGCACTCTTTGAAAATAGAAACATCATAAGCTCCTTATGCCGGAAGCTTTCCTGTTGGCACCTTTTTCATTTAATTAAATTGGCCCATTGCAACAGGAAATAAGTCTTCCAGCAATTCAGAGGTCTGGCTCTTGTTTTACCAAAATCTAATGTCATAATCATGCTGTGTGTACTTTGCCAAGGGTAGACATATTTTGAGGGAGGTGGAGCAGGAACATTAAGACTGTTTAATTGTCATGTTACATGAAGATTTTACACTGTATGTTTATCGTATAGGAGCTGAGTGTACTACAAAGGAAATCAATGATGCTTTTTTGGAAGAAATTAATCATTTTGGGCAATAATAGCATTTTCCACCACATGAACAAAGGAATAGGAAAGTCTGTTCACCTGTAACTGATCAAAACCGAGACATTTAAATGCTTACATTGTGCTGTTTTTAATATTTTATTAAAATATTCTTTTTTTAAGCCCTAAATTTTACTGTTTACATTAATAGGAAAACAGGGATGCTTTGAGTATGTCACAGTATGTGAATCTGAAGTTTACATGTAAAGTTATTTTGCAGTACAGATGAAGTAATTTCTTGAAGTATAATATGCAGTAATGTACCCAAGTGGATATTCAGTTCACCTCCATGATAGAAAATATTTTTGCAGTCCATGGTGACAGGTTGTTTTGAGGTTATTTTATATGGCATTTTTATTACCTAATTAGCTCTGTTGCTCCAAATGATGCTGTGTTAACTGATTTGCCTAAAATTATGTTGTCGCCTATAACCTGTTTTGAAAAACCTCAGATCACTTGGGGGGGGGGGAGGTTCCAAACTTTGAGGACGACAGAATTAGATATGCTTAAAACTACTATTCTCTACTTAATACACTGTGCTAAATTGTGCCTTTAAAAAAATTATATGTTGAAACAGACATTCATGGGCAACTCAAAAAATAAACCACTCTCTCTCTCTCTCCCACTCTGCAACGTAAAGCTTGTTCCACAAATTCCAGGTTGCCTTTTCCACTTACCTAATGCCAGTTCTGTTAAGCTTGCAGCTGAGCATAAATATGGATAGTTGGCTTCAGAGAACTCTGATAAAACATAAGCGGATCTTGCTCTCATGCAGCCAAAGGCAATATATCCTATTACACTGCACAATATTTCAACAGGGCTGTGATCATAGAATTAGAAAGGACTGCAAGTCCAACCCCCTGAAATGCAGGAATCTTTTGCCCAACATAGGGTTCGACCCCCCCAAACCCTGAGATTAAGAGTCTCATTGCTCTACCAACTGAGCTGTGTTACCTTTTTAAAAAACGTATCTAATTCGGTTTTATTTTCCCACCGAAGATAATGAATCTTAAAGAGTGATGGGATTCTCAGTTATTAAAAGCAATCACCTTCCCCCTTGCTCTTAACCCACAACATTCTTGGACGCTTTAAAAGGCCCTGTTTCTATGCGAAAACAGATGGCTGTTGAGATTTACACTGACCTTTTAAGACCCTCCATCCACAATAAGTTAACCCAAATTGCTGATCCTTTTTGGCAGTGGGTCTCTTGCAACTCTCCCTTTGTGGGGGCAGGGGAGCTCCATAGCTAAGTGTTGGAACCCCCACTCTGCCCGCAAAAGGTCCTCAGTCCAATCCCTGCCATCTCTGGGAAAGATGTCTGAAACCCTGGAGAGCATCTGCCAGTCAGTGTAGACAGTACTGAGCTAAATGGACCAGTGGCCTGGCTCAAAATAAGGCAGCTTCCTATGTTGCATCTCATTAGTGCTGTTGTCTCCTTTCCCTCCTCCTGTTTGGACATACTTCCCAGCCAAGCTATTAGTGACTGCGAGGCAAAAGACACAGCCCCACATGGGTTTCTCACCACCTGAGTTCTCCTTCCCCTTTGATATATTTATAATAATGACCAACTCGTTACTATAGTGGGGTAGGAGAGCTGAAAATAATGCCCATAAGCCTCCTAGAGCAAAATAGATACATCAGGAGGCGTAGTTTGACCATAGCAGCTAGAGGAATGGGAAAATTTGTGTCCTGGGCTTTTTAGACTTGTCTACCCCACGTACTATCTGATACCAAAGGGGCACATTGGTTGCCAGATATGACCTACGTTGGCATTATTTTCAGCTCTCCTGCCCCACGACTGTGTTGCTCAATGCAGATGGCGGTACCCCCTCTTTAAAAGTCAGCTGTTGCAAATCTGGATGGCAAATTTCTTTAGTAGTTTGTCCAACATCTTGGAATAGCTGTAGCTTCTGTCTTACTGAGGCGCATGATACTCATAACTGCATTCTCTCCAGTTTGGGATAGATTACAAATACACTTTTCAGGTTGATGCAAGGAATGGTTGTCAAGTCGTTGACAAGGGGTAGGTCATGCACTTTCCACACACGTCCTACTGCCCTTGAGAGACATTACTTTGAACAAATATTTTTTTGGGTTCCATTTTCTGTTTTGTGACATAATAGTCTCTGAAATTCCCAGTCATTGCAAACGTACCCCCCTAATGGACGGCGCACCACTGTAAGTTTATAGAGCTCCACCTAGCTGAAAAGTCTAGGGAAAATGCTTCACCAAATAAATGGCCATCTCTTTTCTCACCTGAATCTCTATTGGTACGATTGGATGTATTATATATACTGTATACTTGGGTGGACTGTCACAACAAATGCTACCACCAGTGACTTTTCAGGATTATAAATAAACTTAACTAATTTCTACTGTGCCGCTAGATGTGTCTCTTCACTTGTTGTGCTATATTATACACAATTCTCACCACCCCAACCCTGTACTAGCAGGTTTCCCAGCAGATCTTCCCTGATGACCTGCATTGTAATTTGCTGTCTTGTATCCTGTGCCTGAGTGTGCAGCTAGGGCAATAGAGGTACCCCAATAGTCCTAACAGCATGTTGCTTTTCTCCCTTTTCTCTCGGGTGCCACAAGCAACACAAGTGTTACTTGGTTGCTTCCGAACGTGATAAACATTGTGTAGCATCCTTGTTTGCACGCCACACTAAACCAAACTATGATTTGCCAGGCCTGTGCAAATATGGTGGCTTCCGGAGGGGACCTTGCACCGCTTTTGCTGGTTCCCCTTTCCGTTTTGCTTGGGGTAACAACTAAACTAAGATTTGGCTTAGGCCCCATCCTCACTATGCATTTAAATTCTGAGTTTCCTGGGAAGGGGGGATTGATTGTTAAATGACTGAGAATTGCAGCTTGATGAGCGGACCAAGGGGTCTCCTAACAATTCTCTGCACCCACAACAAACTACACTTCCTAGGATTCTTTGGGGGGAGCCACAGTTGTTTAAAGTGGTATCATACTGTCTTAAGGATATAGTAGAGATGGGATCTTAGTTTGTTGTTTGAACCTAGAATCATTGTCAAGATAACTCTTCCTTAACCATGGCCTATAGTCACAGGTTGTCTATGGTTAGAGATCATCCAATGTGGTCTGGAGTCTCTGAACGTCACACTAAGCCAAAAGTATCTGTTCGCTTCTGTGCCACTGTGCTGAAAAAAGGAGCAAAGTGGGTGTGAGCTCCTCTCTGAGGCCCAGCTATTTTGTGTGCTCCCAGTTAGTCATAGTTTGGCTTACCATCATGTGTGAACCAGGCCAATGTATTTCCTTTTTTTTAAAAAAAACTGATTCATATTCACAAAGCTTCGTATCTTTTTGTTTCTTTTTCCCCTGCTGGCCCAAACATGAGCATATTGGTCTCATCTCTTGCCACTTCCTTGCTATGTTTTTCTGTCATTTTCTACAACTTACCCACTTCTCCCTCTTGCTTAATTTTCTCCAATTTAAATACAGATCAAGTTTGGAGCCGTTCCTCTGGAGCCATTCATTTGCCAACTATTCTGTAAATGAATATTTTGTACATTCCATCTAACTGAAAAATCAGTTCTAGGTCAGCGTCTGTTTATGGGTATAGGTTGTATCTGGGACTGACTCTACCATTTCTATAGCTATACACTGGTTTCTTTAGACACTGTTACCCTGACACTCTCAAAGCATGTTCTTGATCTACGAAGTGCCTCTTTCTGTAATAATTGTTCCTAGTCTCATTGATAGGTTGCACCAGTATTTCTTGCTTAACTTCATCTGTGGCACAGCTGGATTCTCCATAGACTAGCCTTCTCCATCCAGATGTTCTCCAGATGTTTTGGGATATAACCAGTGCTTTTTCTGGGGGTACTTAAGGGTACACGGTACAGTTGTACCTTGGTTTTCGAACAGAATGCATTCCAGAAGTCCGTTCTCCGAAACATTCGGAAACCAAGGCACAGCTTCCGATTGCGCAGGCGCGCCGGAAACAACAGCGGAAGCTGCATTGGACGTTGGACTTCCAAAAAAAGTTCGAAAACTGGAACACTTACTTGATCGTTCAGAAGCCAAAACGTACAAGTACCAAGGTGTTCGACAACCAAGGTACGACTGTACCAGCACCTTTTCCCCCCAAATGTTAAAAGTGTGGCACTTACTTTAACAATTTCATGGTGAGTATCAGCATCTTTTTTCGGGGGGGGGAGAAAAAAAAAAGCACTGGTTTTAATTCCCATTATCCCTGACCATTGGACCTACTTGAGTGGGTTTGATGGCAGTTATAGCCCAAAATGCACTCCTTTATTTCCAACCCAAGTTCCTCTTCTCCTTGTTCAGTCTCTACTTGGGCAAGATGTTATCTGCTCCCATGCTCAAAGATAAATATTTTGCCCTTATGGCATCTGGGCATAAGATGGAGGAAAATGCTAAGAAGAGTGAAAGTTGAATACAAAACCTCTCTTCCACCACCACACCCCAAGCTCTCTCTGCATACTTCTTTGTGCAAACACAGCACATAAATTGACTTTGGTCTCTACAGCTTCAGCTCGTCTGTTTTTTGCCTTATGGGGCCTATAGTTGGGAGTCCTGCATTTACACTGGTTCCCATGTTTCTGTCTCTGCTCACACAGTATTTTTGCAAATACCGTACTTTGCTATTCTATCTCTCAGTAGTCTTAAAGATGCAAACTAGTATTTGCTGCAGTAGCACACTCTGTCCTCCAGACCTATCTTAACACACCGTTATAGACAGACATAAAAAGCTTATTGCAAGACTTACCAATCCTAGAGTTCTTCCTGCGGCAAAGGCGTTCAGGATCACCTGAGAAGATACACAGGGCTGCATGCAACTCCTAAGGATGGCTCAGTCCTTTTTATGCCTGTTTTGGACAGAAATCCAAATGCAAGGGTTATACTCCGTATGTGATTAGTTACATCCATACGGTAGAATGCCATGTTATCAAATATGTTGACCTGTCTGCAAGTTTTATTCAAAATGCTGGTAAGGGACTGAGGAGCCTAAATAAAGCTTAGGGTTGATCTACCCTGGCACTTGAGGTCTTCATGGGCAATGGGAGCTTAACTCCCTTCCTAAGGGAATGCGGTGGTCCACAATTCTGCCACCTTAGTTATCTGACAAGGTAACAGGCTTATTAGAAGTCAGAGCAGACCCAAGTCTCACTCCTAGCAGGCAGAAGCATGTCTATGACAAGTACAGGTCAGGTTTTTCTCATACCCACCCCACCATGACGGCCCAGTTCCTGTAGCCCATCTCCAGGATACAAGGCTATCCTGAATGCTTTTGCCTTGCCCCTTCTAGTGATGCTAAAAGTCTTGTGCTAGTATGCATACAATCCTGCATTTTATGTATTTAAATTGATAACTGTGGCTTGGCTTGATTTATTTCTTCATACATCCACACTTTCTCTGGCACAACATGAATGTTTTATTTCATACGATAAACAGTGGTTTCTAAGGTACGGTGAGAATGTAAAGGAACTAATAGGAGGGCACTAACAGGAGGTACATGTTACAATAAAAGAGTATATATTCCATTGTGGCCAATTAACATATGCTCTTTTTTTTTAGAGTTAATTACATCTCTCCCCCCCCCCCGTAACAGTCTTTGTCACTCCTTACTGTTAAACTGCTCAGAGAGGGTGAGGACAACTCACTTTGTACCTCCTAGTTCTAAAAGCACATTCCAGACATGAGTAAGGCTTTATAAAATAAAACACTTTGATTTGCTAGGAAAACCCCTTGTCCTCTTTTCTTTCGTCTCTACCATGTATTGTCCTCTTTTCTTTCGTCTCTACCATGTGTTCAGTCATTTCCGCCGTTTTATTTTGGGTAGTTTTAATTGGCAGACATGTTAATCTCAAAACCAGAAGGCTGCTTTTTATTAAATTTGATCTTGACATCTAGATTTGTTTCGTAACACTTCTGTGGAATGACATAAGGCGGGAGACAAACTTGATCCCCACTGCAAGTGCCTAAAGAGAAGCTTAAGAGAAGACCTTCAACTGTAATATGGAGTCCTCCACCCATTAGGCCAGCTAAAGAAGAGCTTTGTGTTCATAGTAGCTGGATGCATTGTATTGCTGCTTTGCAGAGAAGGGAGTCGGGGCATAACTTTCTGGCTACGCTGACATTAAACCTGTAAAGATGGTGGTGGTGCTGCGTTGATGCCATTCTGCTTCTGGAGCTAAGTAGGCCCAGCCCCTGTATGTATGTTTGCCTGGGTGGGAAACCCAGTGGGAATCACACAGAAGCTGCCAAGTATAACAAACATAAAAGGCTAAAACTGCAGAGACATGCATCTTCAGTATCCGACAGATGGAGCACGACACTCGAGAGAAGGAAATCTTATTTTAAAACTCACAACTTTAAAAAGTTTGCAAAGTAGTGGGAAGCTGTGGCAAGAAGTCATGGCAATTCATGCAATGATCTAAATGAGCAGCTGGCACTTGAGCACCGCAGCCTGTAAATGTTTACATGTTTAGAAGAGTTAAGCACAATGCCTTACTGCGCACATTTCCCATACAGTGGTACCTCTGGTTACGTACTTAATTCATTCCGGAGGTCCGTTCTTAACCTGAAACTGTTCTTAACCTGAAGCGCCACTTTAGCTAATGGGGCCTCCCACACTGCCGCCACACGATTTCTGTTCTCAACCTGAAGCAAAGTTCTTAACCCAAGGTACTATTTCTGGGTTAGCGGAGTCTGTAACCTGAAGCGTATGTAACCCAAGGTACCACTGTACTAGCCTGCCCATAAGAACGTAAGAGGAGGCTATGCGGTCGGGCCAGTGGCCCAGCCAGTCCGTCATCCTGTTGTTAACTGTGGCCAACCAGGTGCCTGTGTGAAGCCTGCAAGCTGGACATGAGCACAACAGCACTCGGTCCACCTGTGATTCCCTGCATGATGCCACTGTGGCTAGCAGCTGTTGATAGGCTCATCCTCCATGAATTTGTCTAATTCTCTTTTAAAGCTCCTGAAGTTGGTGGCCATCACTGTCTCTTGTGGAAGTGAGTTCCATACTTTAACTACACACTTCGTAGACTTACAGAACTGTAGATTTGGAAAGGACCATCTAATCCAACCCCCCCTGCAATGTGGGGATCTTTTGCCCAATGTGGGACTTGAACCCATGACCCTGAGGTTAAGAGTCTCATGCTCTACTGACTGAGCTATCCCAGATGCATAAGTACCTTTATTTTATCTGTTGTGAATCTTCAACATTCAGCTTCACTGGATTGTCCACAACTTCTAGTGTTACGGGGGGGGGGACGGACTTACCTCTATCCACTTTCTCTACGCCATGCATAACTTTATAACTGTATCATGCCATCTCTTACTTGCCTTATCTCTAAACTAAAAAGTCCCAAACACAGCAGCCTTTCCTTAAGAGAGGAACCTTTCCTTGAGAGACAGTGTGGTGTAGTGGTTAAGAGCAGTTGACTCGTAATCTGGTGAACCGGGTTCACTTCCCCGCTCCTCCACATGCAGCTGCTGGATGACCTTGGGCTAGTCACACTTCTCTCACAAGTCTCTCAGCCTCACTCACCTCACAGAGTGTTTGTTGTGGGGGAGGAAGGGAAAGGAGATTGTTAGCTGCTTTGAGACTCCTTAGGGTAGTGATAAAGCGGAATATCAAATCCAAACTCTTCTTAAGGGGAGTTGCTCTGTCCCCAGCTCTACAGAATCCTTTTGCGTTGCGACAGCCAGAACCACAGGCAATACGTTCCAAGTGTGGTCACAGCTTAGATTAGCATAGAAGCACTACTACGAGTATTTCCCCCACCCTTGTAAAGTAAAAGATCTGGAGGAGTACACTGGATCTTGTCACCTGGACTTCAACAGTGCTGTGAAATAAAGGTTTGTTTTGGTTTCATGCACGTAGATACTGCACCTTTCAATCAAATGGTTTCCAAAGAAGCTCTCATCAGAAAGAAACACTAATCAAAATTAGCCCAGATCCTTACAAAATCAGACATAACTCAAAACAAGTAGGATCAGCAGTTAAAAGCAGTAGGTTAAAGCATTTTAAAAACTTTTAAAAAAAAAAAAGCCTTGGAGAATTAAAAAAGGGTTAGACATCAGCTTCTTGGGGGTAAGCTACCGTTGTCAGAAACAGGATACTGAAGTTGATGAAATGCAGAGTTGGTTTGGTAACACATTTACTTCTGCCACCCAAATGATAAGACATAAAACAGACCCTGTCAGGACTGCAACAAATTGCAGACAGACAGCTACTCAGGCCTGCCTATGTATTCTTGGAGATGCCTCTTTCCCGTTTGCAGGCAATGCTTATGTCTCTCTTACGCCACAGATTATTCCATGAATAGATGTTCTCACCGTGCCTTGTCCTGACGGACAAATTTAGGTCACAGCCACTTTAGGGGAAAGGTCGTGGCCCAAGGGCACAATGCCTTCTGTACATGTAGAAGGGTCCCGTGTTCAATCCTTTACAGTTCCAGCTTGAAGGGGCCCTGGTCATGGCAGGGCTGGGAAATAGATTTTGCCCTGCCAGCCAAGGATGACATTTTGTTGGCTAGAGGGAGCAGTGGTTTGATAAGCCATGGTAGCTTCATAGGAGCATCTCTGTCCTGCCAAAAAAAAAGGGGGGGGGACTGAGGACCACAAATTGGGGAAAGGCTCCAGGCTAGATCCTTTGGCATAACCAGACATAGCTAGGAAAGAGCTGTGGAACCCTGGACAGCAGCTGCCAGTCTGTGATGACAATACCGAACTAAATGTCCCAAATTGACTCGGTGATTTGATTGCAGCTCTTAAGGAAAGGGAATATACTGCTGTATTTTATTTTACTTCATTTTTTGCTTTTTTACTACTTTACTTTAATTTTAATGCATTATTTTTCCTCAAAGTCCTTTTGAGTCCCCTCTTCACCACTCCACAAATCCCATTAGTGTATTTTTTTACAGTGATGGGAAGATATCCCACTGAGAACAAACGTTTAATCTCTTCTACTGTTCCATTACTTGCTTATTCACCCACCCACTTCTGAAAGAGATTTACGGAGCACTCTTAAAGTAAACCTTAGCATGTTACAACCCTGAGTACTGTGGTAACTTGCTAAACTTGACTGCCATAGCCACAGATGCTCTAGGAAAGACGAAAGAGATCTAGGCGGGGGGGGGGGGCGCGAAACGGAGCTCTGATGCCGGACTCCAGTTGAAGAGCAAAACCTCAAGACTGCACTTCCTCCCCAAACAATGCTGACACCGAGCTGCAAAGGAAGCGATTTCGACTGACTTAATGTTCTTGTGCTTCTTACCCAAATGAGGCCTGACGGATGGACTATGTATGACTCAGTGGTAGAACGCATGCCTTATAAACCGATGGTCCTGGAGTTCAATCCCTGGCACCTCCCCTTATAAGGGTCAATTAGTAGGTAATGAGGAAAACCTCTGCTTTAGAAGCTGAAAAGTAACCCAGCATGGCTGGTGGGAGTTATACTCCAGCACCTGGTGAAGGGCACAGGAAAGCCTACAGTAAATAATACTGATCTAGGTAAACTATGGTGCTGGAAGAGACTCTTGAGAGTCCCATGGACTGCAAGAAGATCAAACCTATCCATTCTTAAGGAAACCAGCCCTGAGTGCTCACTGGAAGGACAGATCCTGAAGCTGAGGCTCCAATACTTTGGCCACCTCATGAGAAGAGAAGACTCCCTGGAAAAGACCCTGATGTTAGGAAAGATGGAGGGCACAAGGAGGAAGGGGACGACAGAGGACAAGATGGTTGGACAGTGTTCTTGAAGCTATCAGCACGAGTTTGACCAAACTGCAGGAGGCAGTGGAAGACAGGAGTGCCTGGCGTGCTCTGGTCCATGGGGTCACGAAGAGTCGAACACGAC